AAACGTATTTTGCTGTTTTTATGCGATTGACCTCTTTTATCATGCTAAAGAATATAACGGGTTTTGAACTTTCGACGAGGGAAACAAAAAATACTTCCTCGACTGGTTTTCATAAAGATAGATAAAATGTTAGCACATTTATAAGTAATAAGTATTCAATAAATAATAATGATGGTATATCTGTACACTATTACTGTGACAACGGTTCCATATTATTTATTGTGCATATATTTTATTCTATATGATTACGATATTATTTTGATAAGGATTATTAATTAACTCGCTGAGCATATTATAATATATAGAGTAAAGTCTAAACATCAGAATGTATATTGAGTGAATTGAGAGGGGACGGTGGGTAATAAAATCCTTCTTCTTTAAAATAATATATTTATTTATGTACAGTGTACATTGTACCATCACCCATCCCTTCTAATGATATCCTTAGTCATTTAAACATCTTGTAATCTAATTTTTTTTTTCATAGACTTTTGAATCCCCCGTGGAATTATTTTTTTCTTATTTGACTAACCTACCCTACGTACCTAATAAAGGTTATGTTTTAAGTCTTAAGTATGGACATCTACTTATTTAGTGTTTGAAAGGAATCTTTTTGATCGGTGCGTTGTGTTTGAACTTTGAATGAATACCAATTTTTGAGGTATTCTATTTCCTCAGATAGCAGGTGTACGCCTAATTATAAAACGGACGATGCATTATTGATGCATGTGCGCAGAGAATTGATTCAAACCCGTCGTCAGAATATTATCTGCGCGCAGTTACGATCATCGACTTTTGTGAAAAACCTGATCGTGAACAACGTTGTATAATAATAATACCTACTATATTATATAGTGTACGACTTCGGGGGCGCATACACATTGTGTAGATGTATAATATTATGATATTACACTAACGCAACGTGTATAATATTATGATATCGTATGCACGTGGATTCTCCACCCACGGCCGCCCGGCTGGTGAATATAATATTGCAGTGGCGCGCGTACATCGCTCGCGGTGCGGCCATCGTGGCCTCCGAGAAAGCTGCCGCCGTGGTACGCCATCATGATTTTCGACGGCCACCGCCTCCACGCGGTTCGGCGTTTTACGCGCAGGTTTACGTACGCGATTTTATTGTACAAACGTAGCTGCAGAATACTTGGTGATATTGTGTATTGTCGACATAATGACTAACGTGTGTTGTCGTTAAATGCTGTGCATAATATAAATGATACGCGCGTATGATGTAGATCGTAAAAAATATCGATTACATAATATTATTATTGCTTGGGTGTTTATTTATTCGAAGTTATCGCAATAAGACGGATATGACGCATAGGTAATGCTTGACTTTTGAGTTTTGACACAGAAAGACCGAGCTTAGAGTATAACGTCAGAAGACTGTTAAATTAGTTGCACAGGCAGAAGTGGTGTTCAAGAGAGTATACTATATTCGCTATTTGATAAACGGAACGTTACGAAACGTTCTTCATGTTATAATATAGTTGTTCAAGTTGTTGCGTTATTCATTTTGTTGCCATAATGCGAAACTATCATAAAATCGTTATTTCAGATTATGCTTTATTCATATTACATTTATTTGATATAAATTATGCTTAATCAATTCTTTTATACGAATCAAGGGTGGAGAGGGCTCTGCATTAAGTATTACGTCGTTAAAAGTACCTATTTTGTTAATTCTTCATTATTTTGCATACATTATTATGACATTTTGGCTGGTTAATGATAAGTTATCATTGACAACGCTTTGGAGATGAGTGGGGTACCTAACTATAGTAGTAGGCGGGTAAACGTCTGTGGCTACACTAACATAATACACCTAGGAACAAAATTGTCGTGTACCACCTATATAATATTATGTCTTCAGAGTATCCCTCTGATAATTGTTTTTCCCAGTCGAGCATACCACCATCGAACGTTAATATTTATTATAATATTATATTATATGGGAACCGCGCGAGTATATTATGTGTGTGACGTGTGTATATTAATGTATACGAGCGGGCGTCGTGTTCGGTGAGAGACCCAGACATATACACAACACGATCGATACACCGCGCTGGTTGAAATTAACACGAAATATCCGTAACGACAAACAGGTGGATACCTAATATATATTATATATATATATAATACATTTATATGTATATATATTACATAGTGAACGCGACACGGACGACGGTCGTGTGTATAATATAGAGGTATACACATACGATAATATATTATTGTATATTAAAGTTTCGACATTATATTATTTTCTTTATTTTTTTCTCCCTCTCGTGCGCACCGCGACGTGGACCAACAATGGAACAATAGTTGTAGGTATCTACCTATACCTGTATATAGTGCGTGGTGGCGACCATATATATCATATATATATATATTTATTATGTACGTTCGCTACCGTGGTCACACATACACACACACACACACACACACACATGAACATAATATAATATAATATATATATAATAATAATAATAGTCTGCGAGGACGGCCCCGAAGGAGACGCGGGAAAAATGACCCGCGGGGAATGCGTGTGTACGCGCGCGATGGTCTATTTCTCTCTCTTTTTTTTCTCTCTCCTCTGTACACGCATATTATATAATATTATACACATGCTCTACTACCGTATTATTATTATGTATACCGCTACTACACACGTAGTGCCTACCGCGTCTTATATACCTATATATATGTATCATGTATAGGTACTTGCCGCAGACTGTAACGAAATTTCTGGCGCCTATTTAACTCACCGTGTACCACCGAGTACATTGTGCGTGTGTGTCGTATGCGTGTGTGTGTGGCGTGTAACGTGAAAGGAAGAAAATTCCAATATTTCGACTCACAATGCCATTACGTGCGCTTTGGTGTAAAAAATGTTTTTTATTTTTATTTTTCATAAACAAGCTTGTATAATGACGTATATATATATATAATATACATGTATGCTTTTGGTCGTGTTTTCTTTTGTTTTTTCTTAAGGGTGATGTCATGATATAGACGCACGGAAACCACTGTTGAAAGTTTAACGCGAGCCTCGCTTGTTTTGACGCAAGATTTCGTGTTTTTTTTTTGCGTCGGCACTTCTTTGTGAAACTCCGAGGGGTTAAAATAAAATACGTATAAGCACGCCGGTCGTTTCAAATATTTAAACGTCATCTATACACCGCGCATAATATATATTATAACAATTTGAGTATACTGCAGGTGTATGTGATACCTATATAACGTAGGTTTATAGTTTTGTGCACATCATTTCATCTACTTATACCTATTTTATAACCGGTTATTTTAAGCCCGCGATATTTTGTAACATTTGCTTCATTATTATTCTATTACGGGTCGACGGTAATTATTGTTTTTACTTTTACTTTTTTAATTTTCACTACCTGTATGTATAATAGCCGGGGCTAGGATCACGTCCAGGAACATCCATCATTAATATTTTAACTTATTTCACTGGGTACTCGGTATTTTTTTAGCTGGTGAAAATGACTCGTACGTCCAACCGTCTAATTTCCTTCGGATTTCTTTTATCTTAGCCATCTTCTATACGCACAGGCACGTTCATACTTGGGTCGGAAAAACGATTCCACGTATTACCCGACTATATATAATAATAATATATTATGTTATAAACGAGGGCAAGTACGCCTATTCCTACATACTGATAGTGTATGACTGCGATTTAACCGGTTTTGCGCGTATTATATGTACCTATAGAGTATATTTTAAGTACAACGCGCTAAACTATTATTTTCATTTGTATCATTAGCGCCGCAGCAGACCTTGACACTCAACTCATACAACCGGTTTACAGTTAGTACAGTCATACGCATGAGAATATAATATTATGTAGTATTTAAATCCAATTACTCGCGACTTTTGCGGTTAAACAGATATTTTTTTTCCCCAGGTACCTATACCTTATAAAGAAGTAATTTATGTACCACTGCGTACGTTGACGTTCATAATATTTATACGGCCGTTGGTTTATGCCTTATAATTGTTATATATACACACGTATTGTATGCAGACCGAAATACGCGCTCGAATAAGTTTTTAATTTTCTAACGTGTACAACGCGCACACGTGCAATAAACATTGGCCAAACGAGCTTTGTCGCGTGGAGACCAACAGTATTACGGTATAATATATCATACGCGACCGTGTTTTAAGAACCTCCGTATACCGCTGCAGTATGTTTCCCCTCAAACCAAGCTGTTTTGTATATTATGAAATATTGAAATGCTGCACGCGAACGCGCTCGGTGCTGTGTGGTATAGAGTTGCGCGTACACATATATAGGATATACTACGTTTTCGGACGGATGTTGCAGGCTAGAGGGGGTGGCAGCCGGAACTTCATTTCCATAGTTGGGAAACTCGATTTGAAACTCATCAACGGAAATCTAGTTATGCGTGCAAAACGGGTCATGGCGAAGGGTTGTCGTGCGTGCCGGGGGTGTATATAGTATATATACGGTATAGTATATATGTTTCAATGTTTGAGTGCGTGTGTGTGTCTATGTATATATATATATATTATCGGTAGGGGTAGAAGAGAATATACATATATATATATATATAATATAGCTATACGACGGGAGTTTTGCGCGTCGAGTAACCGGTAACCACGTTATGTCCCCCGTTTTCAGACAGGAAACAAACTTTAGAAGTAGAAATGACGGGAAGGGGTTTCAGTGGCGTGGAAGGGAATTGGAAAAATGTGTATCGAAATAGGCCTTAATCGATTTATACTAATTTTTTCAGTTTTCATTTTCATTTATTTTTATTTTTATTGCCTGACTTATCCCAGGATTTGTTTTAAATGCTTTCTTGTTTTCTTTAGTGTTTATATTTGTCATTAATTAAGTTTTGTATTTTTAAACTATAATATTAGGTATGCGGAATATATAAAAACGATTTAAAGCGTAAACTACTGTTAAATAACAAAATATAATAACGCACCTTGCCCATTCTTGCCGGATATGTAATCGTCCTTGCATATGAATTTGTTGTCTTCGAGCACATAAAGTTCCTCGCCGGTAGACAGCTGTTTCCGACATATCATGCACGTGAAACAGTTTAGGTGAAAAACTTTGTCCCGGGCTTTCCGCACCAGGTCAGTGGGTGAGATGCCCTGGGCGCAACCATTGCACTTTTTGCCATACCGCCTGTGAAAACAAAAAAATTCAATAAATTACACATAAACTTCATATCACCTCCGTTTGCAAAAAAAAAAATGAAAAAATACCCTATACAATATGTATCACCGTAATATATCGGTTATCGATAGTAAGTACTGAGTATATTTAATATGTTTATAAGTATAAAATGTGTGCGAGTCGTATACCAATCCAATACCTATTTATATATATATATATATATATTTATATTTATACCTATATGTGCGTACAAGGGGTGGTGCCCCAAAACGATTCATCATCTCCTTCACCGCCGACGCAACGAGTCGGTCGGGTTCAAAAGGAGAAAATAGTGCGAGAGTTTATGCGGGTGAAGGGGGATGGGGGTCAGATAAAAACGTACTATAGAGAGAGTGAGAGAGAGAGAGAGAGAGAGAGAGAGAGAGAGAGATTTGAAAGAGAGCAAGACAAGAGAGAAACAATAACGTAAAAAATGCGTTCTTCTCTCTGCAGCGTTCGTGAAACGGCAGGGCGTCCAGGCGCGCTCACACACACACATACACACTCGGGTCGTGCCGAAAAGCCGCGCGAGAGGACACGCGGGGGTCACGGGTCGTACGTTTAATATTTCGGACGAGGACGTGTTTACGACGCGTCTAAAAAACGTAAATATATATATGCATATGTATATGTACACTTATATGTATAAATATAATGTGTTTAGGAAAAAAAAAACTTTATGTACACATATTTTTTTCACCGTTTTGTTTCGTTTTTTATAATCTTCCGAAACTTTTTCAAAGGGTTATTTTATATATTATTTTCCGTTCTGGGAACGGTCGCCGCCGACAATCGGGGTAATAAAAAAAAAAAAAATACATATACTTAAATTATATATAATATTATGTAGGTAGGTCGTCGCGTACTATAATAATATTATATAGGCATAGGTACCTTCGAACGACTGTAATATATGTCTCGCGTGCGGTGGAATCGGTTGACCGACCGAAAAACTATAAAAACGAGGTTTTTCGCCGCCGCCACGTGCATGATACGGGGTATTATGTTAGGTCTTTTTTAGCGACTACCGCTGCTGCACCAATCGTCCGCCGTCGTGGTGTTATTACATTATTATTTCAGATGAACAATGTAGCACCCGCGGACGTTTAGTGAGCAGCAGTTATTTAGAAACTTGTGACGATGACTAAATACGCTCTGTTACTATGTCGTCTGTCACCACACTATATATAGGTAGGTTGGGGTATATCCATGACAATAGGAGTGTTATACTTATATATTATTACATTGAACAGAAGAAAAATATTTTCGGCTGCATTTTTCGCGAAAGACTATAATATTATATTATATATATAGTCCTTATTACTGTCATCCTGCAAACAGTCCATCAAATGTTTTTTTTATGACGAAAAATTACAAATATATGTTCTATTTGGTACTTGTGGCCAGTGTCCAAACTGAATATAGAGGACCGTTAACACACGAATAATTCACACGCACACTAACACTTCCCACACGCAAATACGAATTGTTGATTTTGTATTTGTGAAAATGATTAAATCGAATTGATAATATTGTCTATACACATATTTTCGAGCAAGATTTTGAATATTGTTTTATAAATTCAAGTCAGACGAATAACCTTTCATACAACTATTTAAGTATATAATCCATAATAATAACAGGTAGCACGCAACATATAACATTTTCAGGAAACATAATACCTATAATATATACGTTCGACATATTATTAAAATATAATAAATAGCACCCATGACCATATTTATGTGTTATTAAACTTTGTTGACGGAGACAAACATATCGCGTGATTTGTTTTTCAGAAGACTATAATGCGTATAAATTGACTACGGATTTGCTGTTATAATTATAAATACATATTATATGCATAGAACAATAAAATATGTTGAAGCATCCATTTCAAGACTCCGCCAGCAATATTATTTCAATATTATTATATCGCTGCTGCAGTATTGCAGTTATGTAATAAGGTGAACCGAGTACTATTTTTATTATAATAATATACTATAATGATGGGTGTAAATGGGTACCGCCGTTAAAATAATGTACATTATAGTTAGGTGGTATGGTGCAGCAGAAACAACTGTACGCCGTCCGTTGACTTTAAGTATTCAAACGGAGCGTTACTGCTTTTAATTAATTCTAAATTACTCGAGCACTAGCGTGAATTCAACTTTTATAAGTATGTAATAAAAGAAACGAAAAAAAGGTCGAAAGAAAACTAAACGGACTATTAATAAGTGCACACATACATTATCATAATATAATATATTATCTCATACCCACCTACGTATATACAGGAGGTGGGTATATTTATCTACATAAAAATAGGACCGTGTTATAGCTGAAGCACATATTATAACATTATACAATATTGAATAATATATAATAATAATGCGTCCATCGCGCTCGCATTGTACTGTGGTCGAATGGATGCCTATAAATACACTAGTGACTGAGTATAGTATATTATACGATATTATCGAGGCGAGTGTAGCGCAACATGTAATAACAATAATTTACAACGACCGAAAAAAATGCGGTAAATTTCGTCCAAAGATTCGTGTTTTGGACGCGCGTATCGATATCTTCGAGTTTATGATGGGTACGTACAATAATTTTATTATCATATACCCATATGATATACGCGTTATAATATAATGGACCGAAGAATTCGTGTCGCATACATAATAATATATAGATGTGTATATAAAATGTAATAATATTTTAATATCCTGCAACACACACACACACACACACACACTCACATACGGTTCTGCGCGCGTGACGCGAGTTACATTTAATATGGACAGGCGTTTTACCTATAAATATAATATTATTATTTTTATATACGTAGGTAATATACGATTAAGCATGTGAGTGTGTATAGGTACTCGCCGATACCGACAACGAACCACTTCTTAAATCACGTCGGGAAGAGAGATAAACGAAGGGGGGGGGGGAAAGGCGTAAGTCACATATTCAATATCGTACGGACAATGCGATAATATTAATAACAATTAATCAAAGCCCACTGCACACACGCTTGGGTGCTCGTATAATGACATCACGTGAAACTGGTATTTACTCGGTAATTTCGTGTAAATTATCGGGCGTCCCGCGGGGTGTGTTTTTTTTTCGGTCCTTTCACACACTATCCGTCGTCGTCTTAGTGTGTATGTATACTATATTATGTATATTATACGCTATATTATGCAGTTATAATATTTTCATGTATAATATTATGTTCCGTAATTTTTCTCCTTCGCGGGTAATATCTTTACCTCGCTGCAGCGCAACACGAGGTGTGCCCATCGTCATCGTACATGCGGTATGACAGATTTTTTTTACATACACTTTACGTACACTATACTTATACGAATATAAATCGCACTCGACGATTTTTCTCACGAAAATGTAGGTACCTATGTAGGTAATCGTTAGGGAAACTACAGTTTTTTTCACGCCGTTTGTCTTTGACACAAGTCTGTGTAATAATAACCACATAGTATACAAATATAATATATATTGTGAGTACGCGTGTGTGTGTTTGTGTGTGTGTGTGTGTGTGTGTGTGTGTGTGTGTGTGTGTGTGTGTATATATGTTTATATATATTTAGATTAATTGTATAATAATATTATTAATAGCTCGGTTGCAGTTTTCGATATAGCGCTGACTTAATTTATTAGTGCTGAATGCGATTCGCGTGTGAGCGATCGAGCTATAAATTCTGGACGATTTCGGTGGGGGTCGCTTATATGGTTTTATATCGATCGTCGCTGGTGATCGATTTTAATCGTCCAGAAGATAATTGAACAGTTTGAACCTTGTGTGCGAATCATATTTTTAATTTTATCTTCAGGTTCAGTTTTTTCGTCGACATTAATAAGTTAATAAACATTTCTACATATTATGAGATTAACAAAATATAAATTAATTTTTTACAAATATTTTTTTCGGACTAAGAGTACTTTGAACTTTATCCTTGACAAGATACACGGGACGTAGATCGTAAGTCTACGGGTTCTATAGAGACCTGATATGGGTATATAAATACACCAAGTGGACAATTTATGAGGGTTGATTCTGGAAATAATGCAAAAAAATTATTGTAATGTGAAATGTTTAAAAAATATAAATTAGTTAATATACTAAAGTAATTTAACAAAGTATAATTATTTTTTTTTAATCCTAATTAATGAAAATAAAAATAAATTAAATTTACAATCCAAGTCTAGATATCTAACCTAATAAGATATTTTATAAGCATCTGATTAAAAAGGCATAATATATTAATATTATATTATACAATATGTTGATTTAAACTATCAAAAATGATGCTTTATGATGCTCACTGTTTATATGAAACTATTCTTTCTTTTATCAGCACTGTTGGATGATATCATCGACCAGTGCTTAAAAAAACTAATACACCAATAGATTCTCAGATAGAACCCACTAGATACGGATGACCTGTGTAGAGCTAACCAACCATTATGATTTCTGTTTTACACAAGCTGCCTTTATTAATACAGGATAATAGTTTATTATAATAATTTATTAGAATGCACATATTATATAGTGGCTAGTTTGGAGTTCATTTGCACCGCCGGCGAAGTCCCAAAACATAAATTCACACAGAAACGAACTGCTACAGCACGCGCGTCACTGCTGTCGTTATTTCCCCCCTTGTCACTCGCCGAGATATTTATCGTTTCCCCACTAGAAAATATTACAACGAAAGCCAAAAAATAAATACATAGTATTATAAATACATAGTATTATAAATAAATGAAATTATGTCGTAGTCGTCATCGTCGTGTTCGGATACCATAAGCTTCGGGTAATATGCACACGGTATACTGCTGCATATATATAGGTATATTCGCAGGTAGGTGGTTCGTACCCCCTTCATCACAAAGCACGACCCCTCACCATGTATATATATACTTACAGTTCGAGTTTGACACAT